AGTTACTACTGCTGCTGCGCTATGAAACACCCCAGGCTTAGAAGCAACTCACTTCTTTGTGGGATACTGAACAACCACATGTTCCAGACCATAAAGGGGGAGAGCGAGGTCTTGTCAGGGACAAATGAGTGTCCATGGTGGAGCTGGCCCCGATGAACCAAGTCATTATCAAGAAAATTTAATAACTATAGATAGATGATCTTGTTACTGTATACGAATGCCTTTTCTTTTCTTTTCTTTTTTAAGACATGCGATCCTTTTATTCCAGTGTAAGGAATTTTTCCCCGAATGATCTTTTTTTTTCCCTCCCTCCACCCTCTCCCCTTTCTCACCCTCCGAAGAGTGGAAATCTGGAAATCGGCAAACTCTGGCCACAGAAAAGAGATACGAGAAGGGCGCGTGGGGGAGCGGGGAGGGGAGGGTGTTGAGTAGAGCGAAGAGGGAAAGACAGACATTCATTGCATCAAGAGCATGTGTGTTCCTCATCCTGAAGGAGACTGAAATTTTAGGTGGCAAGGAAAGAACCGAGGGGCGCTAACTCTAGCTACCGAGTCCCGCAGAGTTAAGTTTTCAGAACTTGAACTTCTGACCGTGCGCTTATCCCAAGGACCCGAGCTTTGAAAGATGTCGTTGTTTTACATAAGAAGGTGACTGTTACTTGGAGACATTTGGGGAAGCTGTCACCCCCCCCCCGCCCCCCAGGCTGAGAGCCCAATTTCACCTTCTCCCTGCAAGGAGAGCAGCATCCAGCATCAAGGGGAAAAGGAAAAAAAAAAGTTTCCCTCCCGAGCTGCACCCCCTACACGGTGGGTGGGTTTGTGGGCTGCAGCCAGGAGGGAAAGGCACCCCGGGGTCCCCCTGGACTCGAGCGGAGCGCGCGGCGCGGTGGGAGCTACTGGCGCGCGCCCCTGCGCCGCCCTCCCCGCCCGTGCCCGCCCGCGCCCGCCCGCCGGGCACCTCCTGCTCCAGCCGCGGGCGCCCGCCCTCCCGAGAGCTCCGCAGGCCCGGGTCGGAGGCCACCTTCTGCAAGGAACCGGGGCTCGGGAGACCACCAACTCTTCGGAAACCCTTGGGCCAATCAAAGAGCGTCAGCCTCCAGGTCGGCAAATGAAAAAAAAAAACAAAAAAAAACAAAAAAACACGACCGAGTTGTCAAGTCGCTTCGCTTCGCTCCGGCTCTCCGGTTCCGGGGCAGACGGGCCTGCAGGACCTCTCGGCATCCCCGGTCTCTCCGCCCGCGCCCGACCTCTCCGCCGTCCTTCTGGGGCGTGGGCTCCTTACCCCCGGAGGCAGCCCCGGTCTCCACGCAGAGCCACAGAGCGATGGCCAGCAGCGCCCTGCTCTCCATCCCGCACCTCGCGCGCGGCGCGGCGCAGCGCAGCGCCCCGGACTCCGGCGCCGGCTCTTCCTCCCCGGGCCCGCCCCGAGAAGAAGGCGCGGAGGCGGGACGGGCGCCGCAGCGCAGGACCGTGCGGCGCGGGGGGCAGGGCGGGGGCGCCGGGGCTCCGGCCACGGCGCGCAGGGGCGTCTGCGGGGGCGGCGGGCAGAGGAAATGCGCGCGGCGCGGCGGCGCTGGGCTTCCCGGAGCGCGCAAGTGATGGCCCGCGCGGGCCGAGGGGACAGCACGGTCACCGCCCGCGCTCCCGGGGTCCCGGGGCTCAGTGCGCGGTGGGAGCCGGGGCCGAGACTCTAGAGCCTGGGGGCGGGGGCCCTGGTGGGCGGGGCCCGGAGGGGCGGGACCTGGGCGGGCGTGGCCCTGCGTGGGCGTGGCCTAGAGGGGGCGTGGTTCCCCGCGGCCCCGCCTCCCAGCCCCGCACCGGGGCTCCGCGGCTCCCGGGACCCGCTACGTCTCGCCTGGGCCGGCGCCTGGCCCCGGGTCTCCCGAGCGCAGCAACCCCCCTTCGGGTAGCGATGCGGCGTGGCCGGGGCAGGGCTTCTGCGACCCTCCAGGCTTCAGGAGGTTGGGGCCCTCGGAGATGGGGGCGGGGGCTGGGGGGGCTGCGGAAGGTGGGGATCCCCCGGCGAGCGCCGGCGGGGGGCTCTGAGCCTTGCGCGGGGGGGGCTCCGGGATGTGCGACCG